GCAGCAATCATTATAATGTGAGAATTGAGCCCTCCAGTATTAGTGTGAGTAAAATATCCTTGATCAAAAGGGCACTTCTCCTTAAAACTTGTCTTATTAATTAGCAGGACTTGTTCGGTTTGCAGGTCTTATTATCTGAACCCATTAAGAAGCAAGAACAATAAACATAGGTGGAAATTTACTTTTCCATCACTCATGCACCCTGAACAATACCTTTAGCATTTTTCATTATTCATATGACCGAACAAAAGAGAGTGAGAAGCCTGTTCTAGGTGATGGGCAAATGTAGTAAAATAAGAACCTGGAAAAATCTCAGCCTTTTCTTTGAACTAAACCCACTATTGTAAATGTTGGGGGGGAAATATTTCAATTAGCCCATTAGTACAATCAGCTGAGTCCCTCACAATGAGCTGGATGCATATACAAAAAAGAAATGTTTCCCCTTTGTTTTAATTTCTCCTCTGAAGCCCAGTAGTTTCTTTCTACCTTTACTGATGTTCCAGTTGCAAGATATCATTCTCTCAGCAGTCTGGAGGTGCCTGCTGGATCCAGACCAGCTGCGAAATTCAGACCTTTTGCACCATCAGGCTCCTTTAGGTCAGAGGTATGCTGTGAATTCAAAGGGATCTCTGAACGAGGGATGCCCCCGCAAGAATGTCTTGCCTGGAGAAACAAGAGGGAACTGATCCATCAAGAAGGGACTGCAAGCAAGAGCATGGGCTTGTGGATCAGGGAGAGACGGAGAGTGAGGGAGGGGAAAATGCAGGTTAAGGTAAGGGAATGGAGAACTACATGAATCGTTGAGTCTGCACCATGAGCAAGATGATCTGTTGAAGGAAGGGGAAAATCAGCAGGATTTATGGAGGAAGGGAAGAATTAATATTGGTAAAGAATTTGGATCTACTTGAATTGAGAGGAGGCAGAGATGGGGGAAGGGAAAGTGTGGCTGGGGAGGGGGAATGTATTTTACATGATTTAGTGTGCTGAATGCAGTAAAAACTCAGCTCATTGAAAGCTCATGTGCTGACCTCTCCTGACTTTTTATCTAAGCATGTTCTTCCTAAAAGGGTGTTTATTTGCTTTTATTCTACAAGCATTTATTAAAGTAGTCATATAATATCAACTTATTCTAGAACTTGTACTGAGACTATCCGGCCCAAGTCAGTAAACAAACTCCAATGTGTGTATAAACTGGGGTGTTTCTGTGTGTCAGGAAAAATGGAGGGGGATAAAAGAAATGACCCCTCTGCTCTTGGACTGCATTGTTATCAGGGCGGCTCCAGGCACCAGCCCACCAAGCTGGTGCTTGGGGCGGCACCTGGAGGGGGGGCGGCGCGGCGCTCCAGCCGCCGGGGAGAGTGGGGCCACGGCCGGGCTCGCCGCCCTCCCCGCGGCGCTCTGGCTGCAGGGGGGAGAGCGGCGAGCCCCGCCCTGCCCCCTGCGCTCTGGCCCCTGGGGGGAGAGCGGAGCCCCGGCCGGGGCTCGCCGCCCTCCTCGCAGGGCTCCGGCCGCCCTCCCGCGGCCGGGGCTCACCGCCCTCCCCCCTGGCGCCCTCCCCCCGGCCGCCGGGGGGAGAGCGGAGCCCCCACTGGGGCTCGCCACCCTCCCCCCCCACCCCGCGGGGGGGGGGGCGGCCGGAGGCTTTTTTGCCTGGGGCGGCAAAAAAGCCAGAGCCGGCCCTGATTGTTATTGATTAAATTTAAACCAACTCTCATTTAAGTCTTTGAGAATCTTTCCATTGACTTTAATGGGAGTTGTTACACACTTTATTGTTGCCTTCCAAAACAATTCGGAAGTATGCATTCATTTGACTTAAATCCTGACTGATCTCTCTATTTGATGAGCAAATATTTTGCTAAGTCATAAACTTTTCCATAAATTGGCTATCTTGGTTATATCTTAATAACTGCCTTATTTTCTCCAGACTTTTTCCCCCATCCTTGAGATAAATATATATTTCAGAATCAGCTTTTGAAATTTAGTCATGTTCCAGGCAGCTTCTTACAAACAAGTCTTGGAAGAGGTCAGTAAATCAGTTTTGAGTGTTTTATTTCCCAAGGAATCTGAGCACCTGTGTTTATTATATAGCATATCCTGAGACCTAATGCATAAAACAAGACTGAAGTAGGAAAGCACTGGCGATAAGGAGATTAAAGCACCCTTGCACTGGCTAAAGAAAAATATATTCATTCACTTTAATTAAAAAAAAAAAGCAAGAGTAAAGGAAAGAGCAAAATATGCATATTTTTATTTTAAATTTCTTAGCTGTTAACTGTCATTTCCAAAGCTCTTTCTTCCTGTAATCTCAAAAATATTTAAATGGATGGTCACATCAAGTTATTAAACTAAGTATTAAATGCTGACATTTAAAAACCTAGTAATAACACATACAGTTGGTCATAAGGTCACAACAGTTGCAGGGTGGGAGGGAGAAGAGGATTGTGAATGTAGTATCTTAAAAGTAAATACATCCATGTGGTCGGTTCTGTTTATTCACTGACATCGTCAAAGCACAATTCCTCTTCAATGTTCATGAAGGACCATACCTGTTTTTTAGGAATCATACTAAGTCATGTACAGTCAATCTGTAGAACTCGTTGCCAGGGGATGTGAAGGCCAAAACTATAATGGGGTTGAAAAAAGGATTAAATAAGTTCATGGAGGATAGGTCCATCAATGGCTATTTGCCAAGATGGTCAGGGATGTAACCCTATGTTATGAGTGTCCCTAGTATCTGATTGCCAGAAGCTTGGAGTGGACAACATAGCCTGGATTACTTGATAATTGCCTGTTCTGTTCATTTCCTCTGAAGCACCTGGCATTGGCCACTGTTGGAAGACAGGATAATGAGCCAGATGGACCATTGGTCTGACCCAGTATTTTTATATTTTTAAGACCTTGCACATCTATATTTGATGTTTGTTCTGTGTTCTTCATTTTCAGAAAAGTTGAGTCATTTGTGCTTTTATTCAGGTGTTGCTGGTGTTCTGAACTTTTCCCTGTAGCATATAACCATGGGTCTCCATGTCTCTGAGAGCTGGAGTAAGAGTATCATTTGCCCCTAGATTTCTTAATTCCTCAAAATGTGTTCCTTAAAATGTGATTCCCTTGTAGTGTTGCCTTACGTGAGGCCTTTTCTTACTAAACTAAACATATGTCTATTGTGTGAATTGGACTGATTTTTTGCAGTTGCTTTTCACACACCAGCTAAAGACAAGTCTTTTAGAAAGGTCATCCACAATTCATGCCAGAACCCCAGGAATCATCCATTTCCCCTCCCCCACACTCTAGGCCCCATGCTGCAGTTACTATCCTTCCAGTCAAGGCAAAACTTTGAACAGAGCAAAATATCCTTTACCACTGAGAATTGGTGCTCCCATTCATTATTCTTGTGGAAATTCCTGCTGAGGCAGTCTGCAGATATGTTCATTACTCCCAGATGATGCACAGCCAACCAGGTGATCTGATGTCCGATGCACCAATTCCAGAGTTTGATCGCCTCCATGCAGAGTGCGGTGGACCTTGTTCTTCCCTGTTTATGTTGTAAACCCCATAGTCATAACTCTGACATGCATGGTATGGATGAAGGGTAAAAATCTTTTGCGGGCTTTGGGCACTGCATAAAGTTTGAGGAGACTGGTGCACAGCTTGGACTCCAGCAGAATCCAAGAGCCCTGAGCCACATGGCTGTCCAGGTGCACTCCCCAGCCCAGTAGAGAGGCATCCAGAATGAGTGACTTTTGTGGAAGATGGAGGATCAAAGGGGACCCCTACGCACAAAGTCTCTTTGGTTTCCCACCAGGTAAACAGTGCTAGAATGTTCTGAGGGACTAAGATTTGCTTGTTCAAGACATCTCTGCTCAGAACATAGACTGTTCACAACCATGCTTGGAGGCACCAAAGATGGTGTCGGACAATAGAGTGAGTCAGACAATAATTAAGGACAGTAGACATGGGGGTTCAAAAAGTTAGTTTTATAACCATTAAAACACAAATTGTCAATATCATATGTCAAAACATACAAAGCAAATCTCTTCAAATCAAACTCTAATATATTCTCAAGTGGCATTTTTCTTTCTTTGCTTATCTGCAAATTTTGATTATTACTGATGGAAATATTCTTTTCATCGGTTTGCGTGTGTGGTGAAATGGACATTTACTGAGACAAATCTAGTCCTTCCAAGCTGAATGATAAATAATAATAGATAATGTGACAGACCGAGACCAGTGGGGTACAGGAGTCTGGTAGAGGGCAAATATACTGGTCACTGGATGAGTAGTTTTCTGTTCCCTGAGTGACCAGAGAAGGGGCTGCACAGCACTAGAGTAATCAGGAACCTGCTAGAACCAGTTAAGGCAGGCAGGCTAATTAGGACACCTGGAGCCAATTAATAAGAAGCTGCTAGAATCAATTAAGGCAAACTAATCAGGGCACCTGGGTTTTAAAAGATGCTCACTTCAGTTTGTGGTGCGAGTGTGAGAAGCTGGGAGCAAGAGGTGCAAGGAGCTGAGAGGGTGTGCTGCTGGAGGACTGAGGAGCACAAGCGTTATCAGACACCAGGAGGAAGGTCCTGTGGTGAGAATAAGGAAGGTGTTTGGAGGAGGCCATGGGGAAGTAGCCCAGGGAGTTGTAGCTGTCATGCAGCTGTTACAGGAGGCACTATAGACAGCTGCAGTCCACAGGGCCCTGGGCTGGAACCCGGAGTAGAGGGTGGGCCTGGGTTCCCCCCAAACCTCCCAATTGACCTGGACTGTGGGTTCTTCCAGAGGGGAAGGTCTCTGGGCTGTTCCCCAACCCACATGGTGAATCTCTGAGGCAATAAAATCCGCCAATAAGCGCAGGACCCACCAAGATAGAGGAGGAACTTTGTCACAATAGATAGATAATAGTGAATTACAAATGAACCAAACAGTTCCTACTTTAGCCACTTACAATTCAAAGTAGGTATTAATGTCCATCAGTACAAATCAAAATGCTAAACAGAAAGATCACAAAACAGCTAGACATAAGCGTGCTTGGTTGTGGATTTCATTTCCACATGCTCAAACTTGTGCGGTCTATGGCAGGAATGTGATGAATACCTCCATGTTCTGGGTTTATCAGCACAGCTATAAAAGCTACAAAATAATGCTCCTCCAATCATGAGAAATGCTGAGCTCACCCAGCCTAAGTAGAGGGCAGCTCCCAGTTCTCGTTTCAATCCTGCGTGAACTGCTGGATTATAGAAGTCTCCAATGATGTTGCTTGCAGTCCAAGACACGGGTATCAAAATTAGAATCCCAGTTAGGATAAAAATGATCCCAGCTGCCAGCAGAATGTTACTCCTGGCTTGCTTGTTATCCCCAACACACACAGTGCACTTCATGCCAGTAATGGCTGTCAGAAAGGCAATAACGGACAGCATCACAGCAAAACACATCAGTCCTCTGGATACTTCTAAAATAGGTGGGAGTGCTAGTACGCTGTCATAGAATTTACACTGCATCTTGATGTTGACTTGATAGACACAATTCATCCATAGTCCTTCCCAGATGTTCTCAAACACCACAATGTTACCTTCAATGAAAGCAGACACTCTCCACTGAGGCATGGCAGTGATTGCAAAAGTCCCAATCATGCCGATGCCTCCAAGTATTAGGCCTGTGATTTGCAGTGCCCAACAAGCCATATTTCTTCTGAGACAGGTGCACCAAAAAATAGTCCACAGGAACGTGTTTCCAAAGCAGGGTTTCTGGGAGATAAAATCAAGAGCAAGAAAGAATCTTTCCTGTAATAGTTTGCTTGTGTGCCAAAGTGACTTTGAAGCAGTTTCAATTTGTATTTCTGAAGTTCAATAGGCAGCAGTCCATTGCTGACTGAGTAGAAGGACCTGCTATTTATCTGCTTTGATATTTGAAAGACCTCTGACTAGAGCACTTCACAATCAGGCCCAACAGCTTTCCAGCCAATGAGAGGCTAGATAGGGTGTATCTAGGAATATCATACTTGACTTCATTGCTCCTTAGTGATGCTATAATTAAGTGTGTGTCAGGGTCCCCATTATAGAAAGCTAATTACAAGGTTAATTATTCCACAGCAAAACTGCATCTGTGTTGAAATGTAGAACATGAGGTGTTAGCGCAGGACTTAATTTCTGTCATGTAAAATATTGCATAACTTAGATCAGTACAATTATTTCTATGATGAAAGCTAAAATTGCATTTAAGGTAGGGCTTACATGCTTTTTGCTCTCCCCTAGATGAAAAACATCTGATTTTAAAAAAAACAAACAAACTAGCAGGCACTTACTGTAGTCCTTTAATAGTGACTCCTCGTTTTGATCAATGTAAAAGTATTATCATAGAATTATGTACAGTAAGCTCAAGTACTGTAGTCAACATCAAAGCTTTACCTAAACAGATGCATAATTTATAAGGACACCAAAACCAGGAGCTAGCATCATTTCATAGCTTTTTCATTTGAGTCTAGAAGGAAAGGCCAGTGACAGGAAATAACCTCTCTGTGACTTCCTATTAGCAGGTGAGTGTATTCTGTTACAATAACTTCTTCTAGTGGACACTAGCAGGGAAGAAAAGCTCTCCAACAAAATAACGAGGCACTAATTAATTCATTCATTCATATTATAGTGTTTGCCTATTCTCTAAGTGGACAACACTTACATGATGGATTAATGGCTATGGATACCTCCTACAATATATAACATGGACTGCTCAGAGGACTACGAGCCAGGTCTCCTGAGCTGTAATCTTGCCAGTGGTCTGGTTTGCCTTGGGCATGGGGTTTAACCTCTCTCACTCTTTCATTTTCCCATCCCTGACTGGAGTTGATAATACATAGCTACACTTGGGTCTTATGGAGATTAATTAGTTTCTGTTAGTTCAGCTCTTTGATATACATGGCCATATCCTCAGCTGGTTTTAGGTTAGTGTAGATCCACGGAAGGCAGTGGAACTATGCCAATGCACACCAACTGAGGATCTGGCCCATAAAGTGCTGTCTAAGAGCTATCTGTAATAATTGTTGAGTCGTCAGCTTTATATATGTGTAACCCTTCTGCCAGGCCGAGTTGATAGCAGCAAGGGCCAGGTTCAGTGCATAGGGGTCCCCTCCCTACAGCGTAACACAAAACCAGCTCGAGCCCCCACCCAGTGACTTGGGAAAATCTTACACACACCCCTGGGCGCCTCGAAGAGGCAATACTTCCCCTCTTGCAAGCACAGAGTCTCGGTGTAGCAGAAAATGTTTAATAACATGAGGTAAATGACATAGCATTAAATTGGGAAAACACCACAACTAGAGTTCATAGATCAAACCATGGGCGAAGACCCACCCCAGCAAATTGGGCCATGTCCTTTCCCGTTGGTTCTTGAAACCAGCAACCCCCAAATCACCCAAAGTCTCTGTCCCTGGTCAGTCCAGCCCCAGAGTTCAAAGGGGGGGGCGTGCAGGGTGTTAAGGGGCACCTTACGTGATCCGAGGCCGACCGGCCGCCTCTCCGTGGGGTTCCGCTGCAGCCTTCGCCACGAGCCGCTCCTGCCGTCCCACGAACTGCTCTGCTCTACCAGCTGCTCCGCTCCGCTCACCGACCTGTGAGCCGCTCCAGCCGTCCCCACAAACTGCTCCGCTCGCCGTTCCTTGGGCCGCTCCAACCGTCCCTGCAAGGCTCTGCTCTGCTAGCTGCTCCTCCAGCCGTCCCCACAAACTGCTCTGCCAGCCACTTAGCAATATAGCTTCAGGCTCCCCCACTAGTTAACACAGCACTCAGTGATCTCAGCTCTTAGTAACTTTAGCTGTTTTGTGATTTCAGCTAGTAGTAGGGGAGCCCCAGTGCTGGTGCACTATTGGCCCAAAGTGAATTCAGCTCAGCAGCTTGTAACTAGACTCCTAATGGAATCAAAGTTAGCTCTGACATTTAACAGTGGAGAGGAGGAGGAGGTGGTGCAATTGGTGTTTCAGGCTCACAAAAGGGGCCCACACCACCACATACAAATACCTGCCCCCAACCTCTCTCAATTCACTAGGTTTTGTAACCCATGCCCCTTGTCAAGCAAGTGCTACTTAGTTAATGGTGAGTCCTTCTGTCATACAACAGTTCCACTGGCCTTGATTCACAGAATCAGGGTAACAAAACTTTATTCTTCCTGCCCCAATAACGGAGAAACTGGGGATCCCACACCAGCCAAAGTAACCACTTTCAGTTGCTGTTGTCTCATGCCAGATGGGTGGGTGTGCTTATGCAAACAAGATCAGCCCCTGGAGTTCTTTTCCACACTCGCCATAATTCACCACCAGATGTCAGGGTAGAGCTCATCCTGACTCTGCTTACATATGTGTGAAAGGTCAAATGCATTCCTTGATTTTTATAATTATTTTTAAATTTAGTTACAGCCAAAGGTGCTTATACAAATATTTTAAATTATTAAAAATAAGGATAAAATCCATAATAAAATGATTTTGCCTTTACTGGCTTATAAGGGGAAAAAAAACTCTCTCAGCCTACCACTACTAATTCAGATTCTAACAGACCAAGGACGGTCTGGAAATAGTGCTTTGCAAAGTGAACTGAGCATTGAAATGGATATTACATACCTGTGTGTTAAGTCCTCTAGGGGGCACTGGCCAAATAATTTTGAGTCTAGCAGCAGGAACCACAGAGTGACCTAAAACCTCCTTGATGGAGATACAATATTTAACACCTGGATAGTGCTCTTGAAGTTCTAAGCATTTTTTTTTTAAACATTCTCTAATTCTCACAACAGGCCTATGAGGTAGATGTGAATTACTGTCCCTATTCTATAGCTGTGGAAGGTGAGGCAGGGACACTAATAAGCCTCAGAGAGAAGTGTCAAAGCTAAGGCTAGAGCTCAGACGTAGGAGCCAGATTGCTGCTTCCCAGTCTCGTACATCGAGCATTAAACGACACCGGCTCTAATTTCAAGCAGGATACTACTTTCTCAGAGATGGACTTTCTGAATAGAGGCCTAGATATGGAGCCTGCAGTAGTAAGCTTGGACCTTGGTCTCTTTACTGCTTGTCACTTATACAGTAGCTCTTTAGAGCTTGATGAGTTTTATTTTATCACCAAAAAAGTCAAAATTTTACAGACTTTGAAGCAGAACAATCTTTTCCCTTTCTTTTTTTTCCTCGAAAATATTAATATTTTTATTGAAAATATCAACACTGGTATTGAAAGGCTATTTCTGGGGGGGAATGGTTGTTCAAAAATTTTCAGCCAACTTTAATAGATACCAAACTCTGACTTATCATGCCCAGTGCCCTGATCTATAATGTCTACTGGAATTGTCTTAAAGCTAAGTGTTACAATCTTGTGATTTTTTTTTGGGGGGGGGGGGGGGGGGGGTCAGCTGTTGAGGTCATGCATAAAACTACACTCTGGTGGTCAGAATATGACTTGTGTGGTAGATAAATTACTCCCAGAAAAACTTGAGAAAAATGTATCACATGCCATTTTGTGTCATTACATCCAAAACATCTTAAGTATTTTAATGCTTTTTCTAGATTGTTACCTCCTAAAGAAGATGACATCACACCATATGTGTGTAAAACAAAATGTTACCATACCAACTATACTTACATACTGTCCAATAATAGGGTAATTATTGTTAGTTGAACCCTGTGGGAATGAAAGGAATAAAGGAAAAGCAAAAAGTGGGAGGAGAGAGACTAGGTGTTGTTCATTGCATGTATACAAATACACCTCTACCCTGATATAACGCTGTCCTCGGGAGCCAAAAAATCTTACCGCGTTATAGGTGAAACTGTGTTATATCGAACTTGCTTTGATCCACTGGAGAGCGCAGCCCCGCCCTCCCACCCCCGGAGCGCTGCTTTGCCGCGTTATATCCGAATTCATGTTATATCTGGGTAGAGGTGTAGCTGAACTGGAACTGAACCATAGATGGCATGCTAAGAGATGTAATAATTTGCTACATGAACTCTGTGTATGTCCTTTTTTTAGTTCTTCTCTCACTAACACACCTAAAAACAAAAATACTACCAAAAAATGGCAATGGAAATGGGATTCTCAGAATTCCCAGAGCCTGACCCATTCGGATAGTTGTGGGATGATCCCTTTGTGCCCTGGACAAAATATTCAATATCCTTTTGAGATCTTTCTGGTTTAATCTATTTAATCTATTTCAAGCATTTTATGAGGCACCTGTCACCTTGGGCGGACCGGCTAAACAGGGCTGATGGCGGGGGGGGGGGATGCCGGGCCCCGGGCCCCCTTCCGGACCACTGGGCCCCGGTAATTTGTACCGGCTTCCCCCGTCCCCCCTCTCATCGGCCCTGTGTATAGCGTTAGGACAGTGAGAGAAGAGGTAGAAAAGATTATGGAATGGAAAATGGCCCATTGTCAGATAAGCAAAAGTGTGTGAAAGCTTGCAGGCATACAGAGTCTGAAGTTGTGAAGGGAACAACTATTCTGGTCCCAACAACCCTGTTCTCTAGGAATATCTAGGAAGGGAAAGAGACAGGGCCATTCTAAGGGGAACTTTGTTGCTCACATTACTTTTTACCAGCTGTGTATAACGTCATAATTCCAAGAGATAACCTTTATCTGGGAATGATTCTATATCACAGACACAAATTGGCTGGTGCAGTGAAATTGTCCCTAGAAGTACTGTCTTCCAATCAAGGCACTTA